CCCATGTTTATAGCAGCACAGTTTGTAATAGCTAAATCTTGGAAACAGCCCAAATGCCCATCAACCAATGAATGGATAAAGAAGATGTAGTTTTTTTATATATATAATGGAGTACTGCTCTGCCATAAAGAAGGATGAGCTTCAGACATTTATAGCTAAATGGATATACCTTGAGACCATACTCTTAAGTGAAATACATTGGACACACATGTCTAAATACCGCATTGTTTCTCTGTTGTAAGAAATTTGAAGTGTAAATAAGGACCAAAGTATGTAATAGATATTGGGAAATGGGAAGAAAATGTTCAAATGAGAAGGAGAACAAGGGGGGCGGTAAGGAAAGAAGGAAAGGGCAAGAAAAAAAATAATAGAAGGAAAAAATAGAAAACAAAGCTTTGGTAAATAAAGACAAGAAGAGGAGTTGAAGGGAGTGGAGGAGAATGGGAAAAAAAGAAGCAGGATATATCATGTACAAGTACAAATTCCATATGATGAATGTGATCATTATCTGTATCTAAAATGTACCAATAAAAAAAGATATAGAAGAACATAGATAGAGAAAGACCTTACTTCAAGCTGATAAAGGCCATCTATGACAAACCCACTTCCATCCCCATTCTAAATGGAGAGAAACTGAAAGCATTTCCTCTAAAATCAGGAATAAGATAAAGGTGTCTACTCTTATCACTTCTCTTCAATATAGTGCTCAAAACTTTAGCCAGAAAAATTAAGCAAGAGAAAAACAGACAAGGGAGTCAAATAGAAAAGGAGTCCAACTGTTCTTATTTGCAGATGACTTGATCCTTTTTCAGATGAGAAAACTGTACTCACAGTCATGGCAGATTAAGTTGTAAAGAAAGATGTAGACTCCAGGACACTCTCAACTTGCTATTGTTGAGGAAAAGCAAGTAGGTTGCAATCCAAGTGCTATACTAGATCATCAGGTCTTTTTACTTTCTATGGGTGCTGCAACAAATAATTACAAACCTAGTAGCTTAAAACAACACATATTTGTTGTCTTACAATTCTTTAGTTCCAATTTTTTCAATAGGTTTTACTTAGCCAAAACCAAGTAAAGATTCTGAGGCAATGTCTATGCTAGTTGGAAAAGATAACTATGCCCAATTAGCAATATCTCCCATGGATTCAGATGAAGGAAATGCCATGTATTTCCCACCCTACCATAGATGCAAGCTAAAAAGAGTTTCAAAATACCTACTGATAAAGAGTGATTAGGCAGTCCTGAGTTCTCCAGACCTAGCAGGAAGGGCTCTGGTGAGGACAGTGCTCCAATGATCTGCCTGCTTCCATATATTGCAGCCCTTCCCTTTCCATAGCTGGAGATAATTGTCTCCCTCTTTGGCAAGCTGAACTTCCTTCCAGGTTCTAGGAATGAATGCCCTTTGTGATATTTCTCCCTGAATTTCTAAATGCCTACACAGCACCAGTGCTTGGTGCTTGAGACACCAAAATAGGTAGAGTTCTTGCACAGTAGGATAATACTGCAGGATATATGCAGATGTGAGTAGCTTACCCACTAAATAGACACAAACAACAAAATGCCATGCCAGGTAAAATAATCTTACTTCTCAGACCCAACTTGTGCAGTTCCTTCCACCTTCGTGACTGTGCTGACTGCTGCCTAAAATGTTCTTCACTCTTCTGTTCTCTCCAATCCTACTCATTCTTTAAACACCACTTCCTCTGGGATCCTCCCAGGCTCAAAGAACATCTACTTTCTCATTGTACTTTCATTTTTCATAGCATCTTGAGGCCACTGAGGCTCACATACTCCATAGTTATTGAGGACCCAAGCTAGGTACTGTATCTGGTAATGGGGAAATGGAAAAGATAAGACTTGGTCCCTTGCTCATGTAAATGACAGGCTAATGGGGGAGGCAGATATGAGTCAGATAATCACATCTGATATAAACAGATTCCTGAAATCAGTCCTGTAAGAAAAAGGCCTGTTGTGCTCTGAGAATTTTGAGGCTGCCTGGGGGAAATGACATTTGACCTGAAATCCAGCATTAACCAGATGAAGGAGAAGGGCATTCTAGGCAGAAGCCACAACACCATATGAAAGTGGAAAGGGAGGGGTGAGCTGAGGCAGGCTCGAGTGAGGACACACAAAGTGAGTTACAGGCCTTGTTCCTCAGCCCAATAACTGTGTGTCCTCTCACCCTTACCCTACTCGAATCTCCTTTGGGTTTATGCCCTTTGTATTCCTTGCCTTCAAATCTTGGTTCCCTCTACCACTCCTCTAGTTTAGGATTACGTGAAAAATGTAAATTATGGGGTCAAGTTACAGTGAAAAATATAAATTATGGGGTCAAGTTACAGTTACACTTTTGAATAAAAATAAAGAAGTATGTTCCTGGGAATGGGGAAAGTAGTATTTCCTTCTGAACAAAGAACCAGGAAGAGGGGAGCTTAATATAAAAACAAAGCAATAAACAACAACAACAAAACCTCAGCTGTTTCTCCAGGATATACCCAATCAAGGTGAATGCTATGCCACTGGCATCGTTCACCAAACTATGTGAGATGTTAAAAAATGGTGTGCACTCAACTCTAATGTTCTGATCAGAGATGTTCAAACCCTTGGCAAGCTGTCATAGCTCTTCTTTAAGGAGTGACCATAGTCTAGAAATTAGAGTGACCACATTTATATCCTTGACAGTGGCTTGCATTAAAAAGTGCAATAATTGATAATGAATGTTAAACTGAATTTTCGAGCATTGGAAACATCTGTATAATCAATACATTTAAAACTATTTCCTGGAACTGTCACCAGTGAAGAGGTTCAAAGTTGTGAAAGAGCACTGGATGAGATTCAAGAGGACAGTGTTTTCCTTCTCACTCTGGTTCTCTCATGCTGGCTCCTTGGGCTTAAGAAATTTTCAAACCTCATAAACCTACTTTCATTGTAAAAAGCGATAAAATCACCTTTTTGAGTATTTTCACAAGAAAGGCAAAAATGGAAATACAATCAAACTACCCAGGAAATCCTTGAGGAAAGCAGGATATTAGAGCCTGACACACCACACATATTTCTCCCTAGATCCACCATTGCCAATTTCTCTCCAGTGTTGAAAATGATTGCTATTGATTCCACTCAACACCAGATGAAATGGTTGGCTTGTATGCAGATGCTATGTTAGAACAAGAATGTATCTCCTCTGGAAACACTAAAACCACACCCAGCATGGTAAAACACTTCCACTCCAAGAGGAGCATCAAGCTAGGGTTAATAGTGCCTGATGTACAGCTCCCATTTATCCAACTGCTGTTTTTCCACCTGCTATAAGTAGAAAATTATACCTCCTCACACCTACCTGCCTCAGAAGGATTCTAGGAGGATAAATGGGGATATGTGTTACAGAAAACTTTACAAGGCTCAAAGCTCAAGAAATAAAATCTCTAAAATAAATTTGCCACATCAATACTAAGTTCTATGTGACCAATATTTGCATTGGTATTAGTATAATATAACCATGGAATTCCAGGGCTACCAATGTTCTTAGAAGAAACCAGTCCAATTCTCTACACAATGTCGAATCACCTACCACAGAGTAAATTAGAAATGGGGAACTTACTAACAAGGTGTTGCACTTGGAAATTTTTCTTGCTTCTTTACAACTTATTCTTATTGACTTTGGCAATGTCTTTTGGAGCCACACAAAGCAAGTATTTTTCCATGTGATAATACTTCAGATATTTGAGGACAGCATTCATCTCTCCTCATAGGATTGCTACAAAAGTCCTCCCTTAACTATTCTAGGCATCCATCACTACATTGGCAAAATTTATCAATGTCCCCATTAGAGGGTAGGCACAACACAGCTTGCCTATAGAAGAAGCTCCTCTACTGGGAAAAATGTTTGTCTGTCCTGAAATAATAACTGTGTCGATTTATCCTAGGGCTAGAGTTCAAATGAAAATTTCAGGTGCGTCCATTTTACTGGTACAGAGCATGGGTTTAAAAAAATCCACTACCTTAATTTCACAAAAAGGAATCCAACTTTAAAGCTTCCTATCATTTCATATTTGAAACTTCTCCAGGCTTCTGTTTAGGATCATGTATGCACGCTATATCTGGAATTCATTTTCAAGGATCCAGACTAAGCAAAATCAAGATATTGGGATTTATTTCTCATGTCCAGAGATAATCAGAAATGCCACATTACCTCTCCAAAACTATAACCTGGTGAGCCCATTAACCATAACACAAGTTAGTGTTAAAAGTAAACTAAGTCCTAATAACTCTAGAAGCTCCTGAACAAAGGAGTCCCCTAAATTTTTGTGATTCTATGGTTCTTAAAAGACCAATGGCTCACTGATTCAACCAGTGATACATGTGTCCCTGTTATCTAGCCTAATCATTCTCTGAGCTTTGGAATAACTAAGATAGATAATAGATTTAAATTGGGACATGTACTATGAAATCTGTTCATAATTTTTGCTAAGAATTGACAAGTTAAAAAATACAGGAAGTTAAAAAATGTAGGAAAATTACTCATAGTTGTGGAGGAAGGTGGGAAAAAAACTTGCAAGTGGGCTTTTAATGAGGATGTCTTGGTGTGAACATACGTAAAAAGAACTTTAGGATTTAGGCATTAGGATGATCAAAACTGACCAAGTCCTGGGCTAGGGATATAGCTCAGTGACGCCACGTCTGCCTGGCAAGCACAGGTCCTGAGTTTGATCCCTGGTACCAAACAAATAAACAAAACCAAAAATGATCAAGCTAAGTTTTTGAGATAGTTTATAGGTGAACAAGGTCATGGTGATTATATACAATGAAAACCTTATTCATGAATGAACATTTTGTTCACTTACTTTTTTTTTGGTACCAGGGATTGAACTCGGCACCTTGCGCTTGTGAGGCTGGCGCAGGAACCACCGAGCTAAATCCCCGGCCCCATTTTGTTCACTTTTAATGGAGCAAAATACTTGGCTACCCCAAAACATTTTAATAAGAAATACCAACACATTAGTCAGAAATATAGCTTTATTACCATAATATTTTATAATCTAAAAACTTTTTTAATTCTGGGAAGAGAATATTCCAACTTCTATACAAGTAACTGACCCTGCAGAATACTGGAAAACAGTGTCTAAGCAATCTGAACTTTGTAGAGAAGAACCTGTTATTTAGTTTGAGAAGAAGAAAAAGAAAGAACAGTCCAAATGAAGATTTTTTCCCCCTACAAATAATAAAATTTGATCTATTCTTCAGTTTAACCTTGAACATGTTTTCCCAGAAACTTCGGTGATTTCTTAAAAAAAAAAAACACCAGCCTTGACTCCAAGGTTGACTGCCTATGGGGACAAGGAGAATATTTTAAAATAGAATGTACGTGGGATGTGGCACATGTCTCAGGCCATGGCATGCAGGTGAATTTTCCCTCCGAGTGAGTCAGCTCCCATTTTTCAACAGTAAATTTGTGTTTTGAAGGAAGTACAACATATATAACACATTTCTTTGTATGGGAGTAAGAAGTTAATTTGAACTTAAACTTAAAAAGAACATTTTTCATATAATAAATAAATTTGGAAACTATTTGTCTTATGCAATGTACATAGAATAGTTATGACATAACGGTGCTTTCTAAAGATCACTGGGTATCACTGTCACAGAGGGCTGCCACGCCCTCCAGGCATGTTAAATGAACACCAAAAATGTGAGTTACTCTAAATAAAACAGAAAAGAAAAATGTAGCCATACCATCTTTAAAAACAAGTTGTCATTTGCACATATTTTACAGAACAGACAGCATGCAAATAACTCATTTTTTTTCTTTTTTAGTATGAAAAAGGTAAAATGCAATAAGAGTATAAGATTAATAATAATAAATAATTTATCTTTGGAGAATATTAATTATCCAAGTAAATAAACATTATAATTTTTACAATATTAGCCTAAACAGTGATATTCACAGCAATGTTTTTACCCACTTGATAGCTGCCTATACACCACATGAATATCCCGTTTCCATAAACCAAAAGTTAAAGACTCAAAAATCAACATTTCCACTATGATAAGTTCAAAATATTTGAAAATGATAAGTTATACTTTTCAATTTACTGGAATTTTAAGTAACTGTTTTTACCTATTTATTGTACTGCTAATATGATGCTTATTTCAGTAACACACATAAGTCTACTAATGTTAATTAGGTTACAGTTTTAATTTTTAAAATAGAGAATTCAATTTACATGAACACACTTCGACAGTTTTAAGACCACCCACCACAAACATACACTTTCTCCATGAGTATTTAAAAATAAATTATTAATATACTTGACATATATTTTGTATGTATATTCTATATATGTATATTCTATATATATATTTGTGGACAAAATTACCTTGTCTCTAGAGGAATGTTAGCACTTGTAAACTTTGTGTGAGACCTGATGATACTGCTAAATGTAATGAAAAATATATGAAAATTCATTCTAGAAGAAAATGTTAAAGTGAGATTGTTAAAAGATTTTTCTTCATCGAAACAAAAGGCAGTTGAAGGAGGACAGTGTCAGATTCTGAACCCTATGTGCACTATTTGTTTCAGAAATTACTTTAGAATGCACTGTACAGTGAAGACCCCTGATAGTTGGTTGAAAGGTAAGAAAGTATATTTAGTTATTAAAGGACACAGAAGCAGCAAAATACAAAGTGAGCTGCCAGTTGAAAAGTTATGCTAATGAAGAGAAAGTCATGCCTACAATTCAAGAGAGCAAGCTGCTGATATTACCAGGAAAGCAGTCCTTAGGAGAGGCGGTGGGTGTATGTACAGTGATTACAGGGTGGTTCCAAAACCCTAACAGCACCATCTACTGGCACTCCAAGGACTCAGCCATGGCACCAGTGCTGGGAGCTGATCAAAGGGCTTCATGGTCCTCCCAGACCACAACCATGGAAGCAGCTATCAAGACTAAAAGCAAGGTTGGAGGGTGGAGAATACCTAGTCAAAGAACACAACACAGTACATCAAAATCTGCATAAAGTTGCATCTAAGGACACAGAAAAACCTGAATCAAACAAACAAACTGAAAAGCAATCTGTCAGAATGAAAGCTGAATTTTAACTGAACAAGTCCCATAAGCATCCCCAAAGAGTAAAATCTTGATTAACCAGAGCACTTAGGGGGCAAAGGAATTCTTATTTTGAAGGCTTTCAAATTAACTGAGAGGAAGGTTATACATGAACAAAAATATTTTTATTTCACTGCTTTTACTAGATCTTTCCATGCCCCTTCCTTGCCTCACAATTTAGACAGCAGCAGACATCATTTCTGGTGGTGTCTGATATCCTTGTGTGGCCTTGGGCATGAGGATGAATGATCACTGCCCAGGAGCCCAGAGGTCAGGACTATTAAAGACCAGACCAATTATTTTCGAGGCTGAAGTCTTATTTTACTACAGCTTTAGGATTAGATTGTTTCAATTTTTAAAAAATTATTTCTGTAATCTGCCTCTTGCTTTTAAAAGGAGGTGATAATAAAATTCTGGTTCACTGGGCTTCCCCATTTGTGTAATTCTGGTTAACCAAGACACTTATATGTGTTATGCCCTCTGCTTTCTCAATACATCCTACTACCAGATGTGACCAAAAGGACAGCATTCTTGCCCCCGGGAACAACTGGCCGAGTTCAAATCCACCCGCCTTTTTTAGATGATGTTCACAATTGCTGTTGGCTTTTTCTTAGCCATTTTGGGCCTGATATTGCCCTTCCGGCTCAGCCCCAGGAGCTCTGCTTTTTTGGGCAGTCTGCAGAGTTCTCTTGAGGACTCAGCCTGTTCATGTATGGACTTGGCCGGCTGCATGCTGGCTCTGTCATCCTTGGCTTTCTTCAGGTGGCTCCTTCCCTTTGGGTGGAAATGGGCCTTGAGATCAGAGTGGTTACACACAGAATGAGGATGCCCTCGGCTTCTACAGAGGGGGAGTAGAGGAAAGATAAGCAATAAGAAAGATTTCTTTAATGCTTAAAAAATAATAAATACTTATCTATAATCACTTTTCCAAGCCATAGTGGTGATCATGCTCCACCAACACAAATCACAGATACTGGCATTTCCTGTGACCCCCTTGAAATGATCACAGGGCACTGAATTCCCAGGGGATATTACTACTCCTATCACTAGTGACAAAAATGAGGCACAGAAAATTTAAATGACTACCCAGAATAATACACATAGTTGGCCTATAGAGATGATGGAACCAAAACCCATGTCTCTCAGCTCTTGAAGTCACTACCAGGAGTCTCAGAAAAATCCACTGTATAGGTACTATAAAGCTTATAATTCACCTAAGTAAGGTAGTATGCATAGTACATTGATAGTACTATAATATATCTCATAATATACCTCAATAAGAGAAAGTTCTCTAGATAAGACTACTCTAGCATTATCACAGTGCTATATACTAACAGACTTGGCAGATTTGAAAATCACATCAACACTTTACAGTTAGGTACACATGCAGGTGAATTTTCACCTAAGCCTCTCAAATCCATCTATATGACAGATATATAAAATGCAACAGGAAAACAGACAATATGAACAACATTATCCAATGGCCCAAGTATAGAAAGGTATACATACAAGCATTTGGGTTTCCTATTCGAGGAGATATCCGTAAGCTGAAAGAAAACAAATGAAGAAAAAATTACTTAACTTGATGGCTTGCTTTTGATTTTAAAAATCTTTCTTGTGTGTTTAAGAAACTGAATTCACAGTGAGGAAGTCAGAAGCTGCTACTGGTCCATCACCCAGGAACCACCCATCACATCAGTGTCTCAGTTTCTGCTTACCCAGGGGGCCTCTTTGGGCACCTGTTCTCAGCTTTTGAAGAAGCCTACATCAGCAGATATCAAAAATTTAAAAAGTCAAAAAGCTTCTCAGCAGATCAATGCTTGAAGAAATACATTTTTTGGTTTGTTTGTTTGTTTCTTTGTTTTTTTTGGTACCAGGGATCAAACTCAGGACCTTGCACTTTCAAGGCAGGTGTGGCACCACTGAGCTAAATCCCCGGGCCTGAAGAAATATGTTTTTAAAAACTGGACTGATGCACCATTATTTCTTCAGTGACCAGGCTGTATTTAGAGCTAATTTACTCCAGCTGTGGTTGGTCACAAACTATTAACCGAGAGGAAACTTGCACACGATGTTTACTGCCTAAAATGGATCATATTTAAAATGGGGACATATTAAGACTAACCCCACGGATACCCCAGGGCCATCTATCATTGAGATTATTTTTCACTCCTAATAACTCATTCAATAAAATATCTGCATGCACTTTTGTGGCTGGACTCTGAACGCCTTCACCTTCAGATTAAATTGATAATTATCATTTCCAGATCTGGATGTCACTACTCAGATTATAAAATGACCTAAGTTATTCCCAGCCTCTAGTTCCTGACCTCCCTTGTGGAGCTTTCACTAAACAAAGTGCTGTCACAGCAGCAGGCAGACCAACAGAAGAAAAAAACAACAAAGAAATTGTGCAGAAAGGGCCACCGTGGGGTCTGGGCTCATGTGGCCAGGACACACTTGGTATCTGAGGAGTACTGGTTCCAGGACCCCCTGAGGGTACCAAAATTTGTAGATGCTCAAATCCCTTATATAGAGTGGCCTGGTATTTGCATATAACCTATGCACAGCCTTCCATATGCGTAGGTCATTTCTAGAGACTTATACCTAATGTAATGTGAATGTTGTGTATATAGTTGCTATCCTGTATTGTTCAGGGAATAATGATAAGAAGAAAAAGTCCGTACATATTTAGTAGAGACAAACTTTTTCTTCAGTGCACAATTTTTTTCCAAATATTTTCAATCCAAGTTTGGTTGAATTCATAGATATGGAACCCTTAAGATGGGGATGCCTACTATATTGAAATATATGCACGGTATTTCACGTTGCTACAGGCTTGGAAGAACTGGACACCTGGCTCTCTTCTAACTTCTTTCTCCTCTGTATAAATAGCAGCACTATCTACCTACCTGTTCAGACAAAACCTTGCATTTCCTTCCCCTTTTAAGCTAATCTAATCCTTCAGCAAAGCCAACCAGTCTTGCCAATTCTGTGCCCAGAACACATCCTACAGCCATCACTTCTCAACACTTTGTCTACTTCTCTGCCAGATGACATCCCTTATACCCACCTTCTACCCCATCTCCCATGCTTACACCCCTCCAATCATTCCCCACAGAGCAGCCTGAGTGGTTATGCTAAAACATAGATCACTTCCCATTGAGAACCTTCTAAGTGGCTTCCCTGTGTGCTGAGGAAAAGATCCTGCCAGGCCTGGATGATGGATCCTTTTCAATTCTCTGACTTCATCTCCTACCACTCAGCCATGCCAAGCTTGTTACCTGCCTCTTCCTTGCCTCTTCCATCTTTCCTTGGAGCTGCCTCCTATTGGTTACCCAGGTCACAATGCAAATGTTGCCTTCTCAGCAAGACTTTTCCTGACCACCCAATTTAAAGTAGCTCCCTCTGGGTGGGGGATTTAGCTCAGTGGCACTGCACCTGCCTCCCAAGTGCAAGGTCCTGAGTTTGATCCCTGGTACTGGGGGGAAAAAAGAGAATAAAGTAGCTCCCCACTCTGAACCCTTCAAATGTGCCATCCTACTTTCTGTCTCTGTAGCTGTTACCATTATGCAAAGTTGTCATCATTTATTTACATCTTTATTGTGTTCCCATCTTCACTGAGAGCAGGGACCCTGTCTATTTGCTTATGGCAGTTTCCTCTTTGCATACATAAGTTCTGTATCCCCAATAAATATGGGTTCAATGAATTGCTGCTAGTCCCAAATTAGTTACCTGCAGGAAATAAATGCAACACTTAAAACCAGATTATCCAAGATGTTCTGTGACCTTCCCTCCAAGCAGTTCTGTGAGTGATTTTGGCAGATGGGATATTAGGTCACTTTGTATCTAATTCGACAGCATTTTTCAGAGCATAAAGATAAAATATCTGAGTAAGCATACTATATTTTTAGAAATCAGCCAGGTGAAAAAGAACATAAATGCTCAAGGGGATAAAGGGAAAGACACAGATGCCAAAACATTATTTTAGGAAAGGCAGTAAGACTGAAGGAAAGGAAATTTTTCCATAGGACAGAAGAATGCAATAAAAGAAGTCACCTTTAGAAAGAAGCAACTCGTCAATCAATCTAGTAATTGCCCAGCTCTCTGGAGGGGTCATCAGAAAAAGAAGGAAGGAGAAGGGGAGGGAAGTGAAGTGGAGATGAGAAGGAAGATGAAAGGGACCTGTGTGATTTTTGCAGCACAGCTCAGGTGGAGAGGTTGGGAGCTGGGCTGGGGCTGGTTTTCCTGACTCTTTTGCAGGAGGGAGCTCAGGTGTGTGAGCAGCGAGTGGGGAAAGGAAAGTTGGCGGAATGTCTGCTCAGCCTGCTGGACCAGGGACAAGGAGCCTGGCTTTCTGGACACTCTATAGCTTCACTAAGCTGAGCCAAATAGCTTACCAAACACATGATTCAAAGCTTTCTCTTTTAAAAGCATCTGCAGACTGTGTCATATGTGGTACACTATGGTCCAACACAGGACACAGAGGATTATAGGTGGTGTGATCAAAATATAAGGTGAATGTTGAAATTTTAAAAATTTATTATAGTCAACCACACATGGCCATTAATCCCACTGAAAATACTCCTTGTCCTTCAAACACATTTATCCCAGCACTCTTACCACCTTCTGAAGCAGTTCTGAAGTCCTTTTTCATGAGTGTCTTTGAAAAGTGTGATTAAAAAAATGGTGACTGCTGCTGCCAAGTGCCATCTACCAGAAAGGCAGGCTCATAAAAGCATCATGGTGTGTCCTCATCCATCTTATTCCCTGAGTCTGGCACTGCGGGACTTCTGGCTCTTCCCCAAAGTCAAAATGAGCATGAAAGGTAACCATTTTGAATCAATTCAGCCACAACAGTGCAATCAAATATATTCATGAAAGAGGAGTTTGAGAACTTTTTCAGAAAATGGCAAGAATGATGGAATGAATGTGTTTAAAGTGAGCAGGAGTATTGTGAAGGGGGTTGATGGCAATGTGTCTTTTACTAAAATAATTTTTTTAAAAACTTAAACATTCACTGTGTTGATCACACCTCACACATGGGAATGGAGGAAACTGTCAGCCGAAACCTTTCAGAACACACACCGAACTCTTGGCCTTCCCAGGGCAGTGTTTCTTCGATCCCAGTCAGACACTAGCTTGGTCATGCCCCACTCACACCCAGCTTCTCAATGCCTCATGACAATCTTAACTGCAGTCATTCATTCATTCATTCATTCATTCAACTCTTCCTTAGGCACAGTAAGTCAGCTGAAGGCAGATCATGTTATGTTTGAGACATAGAAAGTATTACTTATTAATAATATTTATTCATTCTTGGCCATAGTTGAATGTATTTATATGAATGTTATATGAATGTATACATGTGTACATGCATGTTGTATATTCACACATAAAATTTTGAATATACACATCTGAGATGCTATTTAACCTTTGATGATATGATATAGTGTATTGAGAAATAATGTCTTGCTGTGTCTTTCAAAAGGCACTCAGTTTTCAAACTGCAAAAATTAATTGAGCAGGAAAATGAGCAAAGAAATATATAAAAAGAAAGAATTAATGGCTTCTTTTCTTCCATCTTCTCCGCTACTCTTTTCTGTCTTTAAGATTCTTCTTGGTTTAGGGTAGGAGGACTTCACACATTTCTTAGCTCTAGATGACTTACTAGCCTAAATACAAAAACTTTAATGCTATATTACATTTCAGTTTTAGAATTCTCAACCATAATAATCCTAGCTACTTAGAAGGTTGAAGGAGAAGGATCACAAGTTAGAGGCACAAATAAAAAATGAAAAAGAGCTGGAGATATAGCTCAATGGTAGAGCACTCCTGGGTTCAACCTCAAGTACTTTTCTTTTTTTTTGAGACAAGGTCTCACTATGTAGCCCAGGCTAGACTCACACTCTGAGATCCTCCTGCCTCAGCCTCCCGAGTGCAGGGATTACACACATGCACCACCATACCCACCTCCTTCTATACTTAAAAAAAAGAATTCCCAACCATCAAAGTCAGGATGATCAGAATTTAGCACTGAATTCAATCCTTTCATTTTCCAGACGAATCATAGGCCCCAGAAGATAAACTCTCTTGCCTAGTCAGAATGAAGGTAAGAATATTCCAAAAGCCAGGACTTTCTACCTTACATCTGGACTGTGTGACCTAAAGCCACAGCAATCTCTTGAGGGAGAAAAAGGTAGAAGAAGTCAGGAGATGGCTGTGTCCCTCCAGCTACAGCTAATGATGACTGGACAGAGAAAGGGATTAAGTTGGGGAGTGATGGTTCCTCCTAGGAAACATTACATGTAGAAGGCTGCCAGCACCCACCCAGACAATAACAGATTTGTCGCACAGATGAGCTGCTTTGAACACAGTGCTGAAGCCTCACATATGTAACAAATTTACTTCCGTCCAGTCCAGTATTGTTCTAGAAAGTTCTGGGACTTGCCTCACAGTACTGCTCTAAGGCTGAGTCTGTTTTACACTAAGCACCATGTAAGATTGTATTTCTTTCCTTCCTCCCTCCCTCTTTTCCTTCCTATTGTCTACTTACATTCCTTCTTTCATCCACACTGTCATCTTATTCCTCTTTCTGAATTTGTTTTATTATATAATCATGTGTGCTTTTAATCTTGACTTCCATAAGTTCAAACTAATCTTTATTAGTCAACCAGCATTGTTAATCTTTTGGTTCGCATAAATTTTTCTGTTTTTCTTTTCCTTTTAATATAGTTCACCAGAGGAGAAAAGAATAATTTTTAAATCTCCTGGGAAGGAGATGAATATAAATAAAGTTCAAAAATGAAAATGTTGTTTTAGAAAAACACTTTGGGGTCACAAAAATCATTTCTCTGGCTTTGTTGTTTTTATTCCACCAAGGAAATATAGAGATTAAATATGATCACACATACTGTATCGTTAATTCCTTTTTTATCTGTTTCCCCTTCCCTGTCTCTGCTCCATCCATCTCTTGATTCCCTTGTCTCTTTTTTGTACATGTTTGCAATATATAGTGTTTACATTCCTAGTGGGGAACTGGTACGTGTATATAACATAACATTACATAACAAACATGTACCAACTCCTCACTAGGAATGTAAACATTGTATACTACCAACATGCACCAGTACAGATAGATAGACAGACAGACAGACAGATAGATAGTTCATACAGCCCCCTTACCTACAACATTGTCCTTTGTGCCTGCACCCACCCTCCCAAGAGACCAAGAAGTCTCAATCAAGCCACTTATGAGAATCTGGATCTTTATTCACATCCAAAGTTCTCCTCTAGGCTCTGGTTTGTTTGTTTTTTCTTGTCAGTACTGAGGATTGGCTTTTGCACTGAGTTACACCCCCAGCCATTTTTATTTTTTATTTTGAGACAGAGTCTCACTAAGTCACTAAGTTTCCCAGCCTGAGCTCAACTTGAGATCCTCCTGTGTCAGCCTCCCAGAGTGCTGGGATTATAGGCATGTGTCATCATGTCAGGATTGGCTCTGGGGTTTTGTAAGCACATAACTTTGTATGTAAAATGGTATTCAGAAATCTATCACACACCTATCATCAGTGATTGTTTCTGTGTTTTTGAATTTTTACTTAAAAAATGTTTCACCTGTTGACACTGTTGAATAGCATCAACAGGCCCTATTAAGGAAAACTATACTGTATTTGGATGGATCTTGCTTTACTGAGAAGGGCCAAAGTCTCCATGAGACTCTTTTAAAAGAGTTTCAAAACAAGATAACTTCTAATCTACTCAAATATCCATGATAGAATAATTACTTAAAACTCCATCATTTAACAAATATAAAAATATTTCTACCAATTCTGCATGGCATGGAGGAGGAAGGTGAAGAATGGGAAAGGACATCTAGGGCTTAGCTTCAGGTCCCAGGTGCTTGGGCATCTCTTGTGCAGCACAGGCATGGCCCAGGAAGAGCTTTTTCATGATGACTAGGGAGCCTCTGTTGGTCACCCAGCTCCCTTTCTACATCCACAGGACCTCATGCTCTGAGGCTGGCTGGGTGCGACTCACCACATGCTCGCTGGTGTCACGGCTGAAGCCAGAGGCCTGCTGGCTTTGATAGTACTCGAGCTGCTTTTCTGCCAGTTCTACCCGTTGCAACAGATTCTCAATGAAGTCCTGGAGTCGAGCTTTCCCTTGAACCTCCTTCTCAGCTGCTGCTTCCAGGAAATGGTTGAATGTAACAACTTCTCTACAAGGCAAAAATGTCAGAACATGAAATGGAGAAAAGAGACAGGAGTTATGCACTGATGGTGCCCCATGCTATGTCCTAGAGGGCTAAGCAGTGGGCAATGTTGAAGGAGATTTCATGTAGAGATTACATTTTGGTAAAAATTGCTAGTCATAAAATACATAAATAAACGCATATGTGAAGAGTGAAGAACACTGAAACTGGGTACAAGAACACAAAGTGAAGAGGAAGGGCAGTGATGGGTAATATTTTAGAAAGCAAAGTGAGGGATCACCCACTGGGTGGAGAAACATCTGAACAGAGGCTTGAAGGAAGTCCTAAGGAATAAGCCAGGCAGATAGCCGAGAAAAGCAAAGGAGACAGATCTGGGACTTGGAGGTGGATATGAGATATGAGGTCTGCTTGGGGAATGGAGCTAGGTCAGGCCTCACAGACCACTGTGAGAATTCCAGTTTTCATTTAAAATGAGATGGCAAACCACTGGATGATTTTGAAGATAAGTTTTGACTTAGATTTTTAAAATCTGGCTGTTAGGAAGAAAAGTCTGCAGTGAAGGCAGGTATACAGGCAAGGTCACATCGAGCAGTGCAAAAAATGAGTCACCTTGTCCAGCAGTGTATTTTTGAGCTATATATGAAACAGTGCAAACAGGCACCTTGGGGCCAACCTGAAGTCCATTGGGAAAGCTATCGTAGCCCTGGCATAGGAGATGCAATGGGCAAGCTGCCCTCCCCTTAAGAGCCATGAAAATTCTTCAATCTTTTATCTCCTTATTTGTTATAGAGCCAAAAATCCAGAAAATTTCTAATTTAATGCCATTTTATATTTTCCATTTATTTTTAATGCAAGTATGAAAGTAACATTTTTCTGATTTACAAAATATATAAGCTCTTTATAAAAGGTTCATATGACACATTAACAATATAAAGGAAAGAGCTAAAATTTTATTATTTTAAGGTCGCCATCACTAACGTTTTGGCAGGAGCATCTGTTTATGACCACAGACACACAGTTTTCCTTTCCTTACCTTACCCTCCCCTCTTAATTCTTCTTCTCTACACTCTCTTTTCCAGGTAATGAACCATCAGGTAATCAACACTACCAAAAGATGTGCATTATCACAGTTCTCATCACCTTACTTCTTTCAAAGAAATCACAACCAGCCTTTTAGTCATGCCCTTTGCATGTTCTTCCATCCCTACTGAGCTATTCAGTTCCACAGTTTTATACCTGTTGGAAATAGTATTTTCATTAGGTGTCTTCAAAATTTCTCTCAACCTTCAAGTGACCTCGCATTGTTCTGGCCACATTCAATTTACACAGTTAAGATTCTAAAGATTCTGATCACTATCCCAACAGCCTCTTTGAATTTAAATTAATGAACTCTAGTTTTTGTGTATCTAACCTCATTTAGTTGCTCTAGACAGTCCAACACATTGTTCTAGAAGTCAGCACCTTCTCAACCTCCACTTGACCTTTAATTCCCACTAAGCTCTATCAGTTCTGGAGAAAAAAATTTCTGGTGAGTCTGGTTCAAGAAATCACCTCTATATAAGATCTTCAAGATAGACAGCGGTAGCTTCCAGATTCTTTATTCTGTACTACTGGTCAATTTATAACTGGCCACTTTATAATCAATTGTAACTTTTCTCTCACAAATACAGTAACTCACACTCAACAGTACTGAAAGTACCAACACTTCCTACAGAGGCACAGATTTCTAAAAAAAAAAAGCATAGAAAGTATATATTTATAAAAATAGAGAACAGATCTGCTGTACCAATGACTCATTCAAAGACATACTTATGATACCACTCCTCTTTCTTCTGTTTTCCTATTCAAAATCAAATATAAACCCTAATCTATAATAATCCAATTACCTTTTAGTAGCTAAGAAATTTATCCACAAAAGAGACAGAAAAGTCCTTTTGGAAAAGTTTTCTTTCATCATTAACTGTCAAGTTTATTTCCAGATGTTTCCATGTGACCTGTCAACAGATGTGTGCTTTCCAAGGACCTAGTCATTCAGGCCATGGACACAAGCCAATTTCCAAACTCTACTGTCATTTGCTTTGATCTATTTCCTAGATAAGCCACAAACCTTAACTAGCAGCAAGAGTGGAGGGCCTATCCAGGTGGTGTGCACAGCCCTTTCGTGGGTCCTGGTTGTGGTTTAGATCCTATGGATGGAGAATTATTACAACTCAAATGCCACTGGAAATACAACCCAGGAAAATGGCTGCTACACATTCTCTTTCCAACATTAAGGCTTCAATTCACTTGAAGACAAGCTCATTAAAGAGATTTCCTGGGTGATATTTAAGGTACCCTTAATTGTGAAACAGTCTCCAGATTGTACGCATTGGGGAAACAAACAAAAGGACAGTCATTTTTTCAATTCATTCTGGATTATAATATTTACTATATTTATCATATTACAGAGATATTTCATACTTCTGGGAAATAGGAAAACTGACCTTTTGGAGGATCCAATTGGGTAAAGGCCTTTTTCTCTATTCTTAATCCCAGACTCAATACAATGCTTTGCACAAATTCAACAAAAATTTTTTGTAATTAATGTTTACAAAGGACAAAGAAATGAGTCTTTTTTTTTCTGTGCATATTTACTGTGCTCAAGCTCTCTGGCTATAGTCTAGCATATGAGAACACAGGATCTGAAAGACTAATCTCACAGGATTAATACCACAAAAGCAAGAGAACAAATCTGAATGCAACACTGCTAATGATTGTGGTTGTATTTTTAAATCACAGAATATTTTGCTGCTGATTACACATAAGACTTTAAAAAAATGAATATTAATGTTCTAGCTGATTATGGAGTGTTTCACCGCACTGTAGAAGAGAAGGATCTTTTTCTAACCTCCTTCATTCAATTATCTTGTGGCCTGAAGCTAAGAAGTTAATAACCTTTGCATTTTTCAAACAACCTGGCACTAATGCTAACCTAATTTCAGTTTGTGAATGTATTACACCAACTAGAAGGGGGAAAAAGACCATTAAAATAAACCTGATGGTTCAGTATGATTGTGTTTTTAAAGAGAAGTTAAATGCACAAGGGCTGCGTAAGCTCATCGTACTGAGAATGTATAAGGTACACTTACTAGATTAAAACAGCACCAAACTGAGTGACTAATTGTGGAAAAGCAAGTATACATATCTCAGATCCCTCCTTTCACATCCTGTTCATTTGGATGAAGGATATCCAGAACTACCTCTTTATTTCCCCAAGGAATCTGGGGAATTTTCTGAATGGAAAAAAAAGTTCATTGCATTTATAATCTTTCTAATAATTATACTCCAAACAGTAAAAGGACCATTCGAAGTGTTAATATAGACCAATATTTTTCACCCTAAAAGAACAAAATGTTCATTATATGGTTTCAGAACCCACACTGAAGTTAATCTTTAAGAAACAATCAATTCTCACATTTGGGCATAGTGCCAAAACAGAACATCCACTATCACTAGAAAAGGATAGTCAAATGCCCTGTCCTTTTCTTTTCTTTTCTTTTTTTGTGGTACCAGGGATCGAACTCAGGACCTTGCACTTGCAAGGCAGGCGTGGTGGCACTGAGCAAAATTCCCGGCCTACCCTGTCCTTTTCTTACTAAGACTAGACCTGTGCCATCTGTGTGAGACCAGACCTTTGTTGTCTATTCAGAGAGAAAAATGAATCTGACCAGACTCAATATAGAACTACTAAGGTCAAAATGCTTCCCATAAATCCACATATTAAAAATACTGGGAAAACTGTAAACACCACCACTCTTTTTTCCTAAATTGTTTTGGGGAAAATAGTTGTTTTCATAAAAACATGTTATTTATGTTAAGATGTAATGGCAGAGGGAGACATTAAAAGCAGCAAACAACAAAATATGTAATTACAAAGAATTGCTGAATGTGACTAAGGAAAATAAGATGCTATCAGAGCTATAAAGGACTTGTGTGGTTTTACTTTAGGCTCTCACCCCTCTGACTCAGAGGACAGTGTGAAGCTAGCCAGCCAGATGAGAAGATAAGGGCATACCTGAGTGAAATTCAGTCCGGGTGTGGGGACAGAACAGCTTTGGGGAAATTAACTTTAACTACTTCAAAGCCACTTCTGGCCCCATCTTTGACTTCTTATTCAAGTACAGAAACAAAAAGGCTAAATATTATATCCAAGATTATATGGCAAATGTGGTCATTTAAAGGAATATTTGACTCTAAAGAAAAAAAAAAAACCCAGCATAGTATATAAGAAACTGACCTTGAAGTTCATTATTGTGCAAACTAATTTCCACACCTGGAAATCTGACAGTATCTAGGGATTCACAAGCATTTAGAAAGCATTAAGGTAGAAAGGGTTCACTGAGGGAAAAAGCTCTTCATAGTCAGAGCGTTAGTTTGAAAAAACATTCACTCATGCACGCATTTATTTACATAAGGTCTGAAACACAGATATTTCATTTTTCACAGATGGAATCCTCTCAATTACTTCTTTTAAGGTGAATTAAAGACAAGTTAATTCCAAAAAAATCAAAAACACTCTATCATATGAACAACACATCTAGAAGCACCCACAGACTGACAGAAATGTGCATTCATGCCCCATGGAGCACACTCTTGATTTTGCATAGGCAGGCAGCTGTGCATCGTTAATGAGGGACATGGTGCCAATCCCACCAAGTATTAAAATCTGCCATCCATACACCACATCTGATGTCTATTTGAACTCCCTTCATTCCTGTACCCAGCCAGGCTCTTATTTTGGACGTATTGCTCCCCAAGGTCTCTTCCTGCCCTTCCCTAGTACCCACTTTAATGATTCCTCTGAACTCAGGGTGTCCTGGTAGTAACATACCTGCACACTCTCAAATCCAGATGAGACAGTCTGCTGAGTTCTCTCACAGACCAGAGAAGTTGTGTCATTTACCTCATTTGATTATAAAATCAGCGAGTTCACAGACTCCTGCTCCTTCCTTAGGGCACACAGCACC